GTTTAGGAAACCGAAACGTTAGACAAATTAAAGTATTTTACCGTTTTGTTAATCTGGAAGAACAAATAAAACATAATGTTTCAACCTGGATTCAAACCCTTCAATATATTAAACTTCATTTTCTATATTGTACTTATCCTGTCTCTGTTTCAACATATAATTTATGAACAATTGAAAATACTTCAGATAATTGTATATTGATGTGTTTTATAGCTAATATGTTGTTTCACAGCAGGGGAATCGACTTTATATAGGTCATTGGGTAGATGTCTGTATTACTATGACGTGTACGAATTCGGAACACGAAAAACGTTTTCGGATTGTGCACGCATAAAGGTCCATACACACCCGACACAATTTGGCAACACAACGCAATTTTTCCATTTTCATTGAATGATAACTTTGATCCTAGTTTAAATTTTCCAAATGTTTAGAAGTGTTATAACATTTCGAGTTATTTGGTCTACATACCTTTCAAAATTTGCTCTCATTGGCTGTTTTATTAACTTTCAAAAACTAAAAAATCATGTTGTCAATTCGCGTCTGGTGTGTCTGGATCTTAACACACAGTTACTATGGGTTTTTACTACAATGGATTTGTTAAGTGTGCAAATAAGTATTGTCCTACAATTAGAATTGTAAATATTTTAATCCGGAATAACCGTTTCAGCACAAATTACTGGTATATGAATGACCTGTTTATGCACACATATATTATTTTCTACACTATGTTCTACACTATGTTCTAGTATATGGTATTATGTTCTGGGTAGGGTGGGGCAACGATTTATTGCTATTTGTAGATTCATGTACACGTAGCGTACCTATTTTTGTAACAGTTAAAAATGGCCCGGAGGGCCTTTTTGTGGCCCGATTCTCTAAATACACTCCCTATCCTCAGGCACCCCTTCCACCCAACTATAACTGCCCTCCGCCATCATGAACTGTATACAACATAAAAGACAATAGAAGTAGAGCGTGAAAAAGTGTATTGGAATTCATTGTATTACAAAGTTTTATTAGATTATTTTAGAGCACAATATATAACACCATTCTTATATTCCCACCATATGTGAGATTTGTTACACATCTTATATGTTAATTTTATAGTGTCCATGAGCTAATGTACTAACACCATCTTCTAAAATGAAACATTTATTGTTGTATGGACTTAAATCAATCTTGTTTAATTTGATTGTATTTGTATTTGTATTTAAAATAGATCCCAGTTAGCTATAATGCTAGTTTACATGAGGTCTACAATACATTTGATGGAGTAGATCTCATGATCATTACTTCGAATCTGATTCATTATGCTTTTGTCTGTTTCTTATCGAATAAGCAGGTTTTATAATTGTCATGTCTTATCTTCTTATCCACTGACTTCTTTTATCCCTTTAGCTGTCTTCTTCTCAACCAGCTTGTTGGTTTCAATGTATGGCATAGAGTACATCTTTGGCCTCAAACCAATGAACTCTTGAATACCATGTGTTTCGTCTTTCATTTTCCGAAGGACTTTCTTGTTTCTGATACTGTACAATGGATGGCCTTGTGCATATTTGGATGATAATATCCATTTATCTTCCAGCATATCTTGATAAATGTTGTTAGTCTTGATCTCATAACGGAGGCTGTCTGTGAACAACAACTTTGTGCCGCAGTCATACTTAGGTTTCATGTACTCATAATGAAACTGATACACAAGTACATTAGAGAGATCCAGTATTGCAAATCTGATGTAAATTTTATGGTTTAGGCGTAAAGCTTTGTTTTCTTCATATTTACTGCTGCTAAATCCTCAGAAAATATGCGGAAGGAATCAAACAATGGACGAGCGATTAGCTTTGTGAGCTTTGTCTTATCGTTGACTAACTTGACATTGACTCGCTCAGTTTCTCTTCTCAAAGTCATTCGCAGCATGTTCTCTTCTTTCTGTGTTGAAATCAATATGGGCTTTGAACCATGGATTTTGTTGAAACACCAAGACTCTATGGATTCTTGTCACCTCCATCCCTAATGCAAGATATAACTTCAGATTTGCACACCTCTACTGGAGATATGCCAACATATACGATAGTTCACACCAATAGATTGGAGATTTTAACTTTGCTAACCTGGCATGTTTTCTATACTTTTAACATCATATTCGTGAAGTTATACTGTGAATTTACTGTATAGTACTACTGTATGACAATCAATTCAGGCACACGTTGCTTCGACCAATGAGAACCCGCATTTTGAATCTTTGTGAAGTTATTACGTCTTGGACAGCTGGCATGTTGAGAACTTTGCTAAATGTTGTCATGGCACTGTGTCCTTTACCAATTTCTCTAAGGGCCAGGACTGCTCGGACATATACTTCATAAAGTTGTCCCTGCTTCTTTGAATTATTGAAGCAATTACTTCTACTCTCATCCAACACACTGTAAAACAATGTAATGAGAATATCCATGTCTTTTACTTATGCCAACATGTGAACTCATCTCATCTCCACAGTTAGGACATTTCAAAATGTTAAGACACCAAATAAAATTGACAAATCCATAAATACTCTCCCTTCCCTTACAGTGTCTATATTTTGAGTGTCTTTACAGTGTCTATATTTGTCTGAGGGCCAATTTTTGCTCCAGAAGGTCCAGCTTCTTTGTCACGAGGTGTGCCATATTTAAATTTCTTCAAAGTCAGATTTCTAACCCATTTTCTCGCTTTGTTCTTCATTTTTCCCATTTATTGACTTCAAATTACTATCCAAATAACAATGGCTCTCCAAAGCAATGCAGGTAAGTCAGAAGATTCTAAATCACATACACAAAAAGGGGATACTTGTTTGATGTGTTGCTAGGCTATGGAGTAAATTTTCAAACAAGGTAACTTTGAGATCTTTTTTTCACTTAGCGTAGACTTTGTGTGAAAAAATCAACCATGGAGTCTTAGTGCACAATAGTTAAAGATGATTTCCACTCTGTTCTGCGCATCAGTTCTGCTCATAACAAAGGGGGACCCCAGAGACAAACATTGCCCAAATTAAAATTTAATAGTTTTTTAATAGGTGATAATTTGACACAATTGATTAATGAGCCAACACGAATTACCAGGCATCAAACAGCAATTTGAGATGTTTTGATTACAAATTGTCCAAATATTTTTTATAAAACAGGAACTCGTAGTCCTCCTTCTATGTGTGACCACTCGCTTATATTTGCTCAAATAAAGATTGGTATTTCTAAAAAAAAGTTTTAAGAGAGATTTGGGATTTTAGTAATGTAAATACTTCTGCTTTAAATGATGCATTACTATTGAATGATTGGGGATTGCTTTTCGGCACTGTATTTGATATTGACTATGTATGAGATATGGTTCAAAATATTTTATGATGTTGTCAAAAGCTATATACCATTAATATTTGTTGTCATACGGCCGAGGGATAAACCGTGGATGAATAATGAGGTTCGCCAGGCTATTTGTAAACATGATAGGTTATTACATATTCATAATATTAGGCGATCAGATTATTCTTGGGAATCATACAGAAGGCAAATGTAATTTTACAACGAACTTAATTAGGTCCACAAAACAATTTTATTATGATAAACAAAGATTTAAGCAATCCTAATATAAATTCTAAAAGGTGGTGGTCTATTACTGAAAGTTTTTGGGGGTCAATTAATGTTTCCCTAGTGCCAACAATAATAGAAAATGATGTTCTGGTGGTTGACTCTGGGGAAAGCATGGGTCGGCTCTCGGGGGCAGACACTTTGCCGCCTTTATACATTTACATCCTGCGCGGGATTTTTTTACTATTTCAGTGGAAGAGGACAACATTTTCAGATTAATGCTAAATGATGATGTTACTAAGGCGAGTGGATGCGATGGTTTTAGAAATAGAATAATTAAACTGTGCGCAGAAGGCTTGTGTCCATCTTTTACTACACTAATAAATCGGTCATTTGTGTTAGGAAAATACCCTTCGCAATGGAAATTGGCCAATGTAATTCCTTTATATAAAAAGAAAATCGACACTTTAAAACCAATTATCGTCCAGTTTCACTTTTACCTTGTTTATCAAAATTACGAGAAAAAGTTGCCTTTAAAGGACTATACGACTACTTGATAGAAATCAGCTTTCTTTATCGTTTTCAATCCGGATTCAGACCTGGAGCATCAACAGTAAGTCAATTGTTGTATATAATTCATCAGATTTATCTCACCTTTGAGCAAGGAAAAGAAGTAAGAGTTGTGTATTCAGATATAAGTAAGGCATTTAATCATGTATGGCATCACAGATTGTTAAAAAAACTGGAATCACTTGGCATTTGTGGTTCTTTACTGCATTGGTTTGAAAGCTATTTGCAGGATCGAATACAATGTGTTATAAAGTTTGTTCGTTCACTGCATGATATGATGCGATATATGCATGATATGATGCGTGATATGATGCGATGATATGATACGATGAGGGTCAATCATCATCGGAATGGACAAAATTATATTCGGGGGTACCTCAAGGTTCCGTACTAGAGCCACTTTTGTTCTTAATATATGTAAATGATATTACAGATAATCTTGAATCAAAGCCTTTTGTTTATGCAGATGATACCACTCTATTTGAGGTCGTAGACGATCCTGTTGAGTCACCTGAAAATCTTAATAACGATTTAGCTAAGATTTCTGAGTGGTCAGATAAGTGGTTGGTTAGTATGAACCCCTCAAAAACTAGATCCATGTTGTTTTCATTGAAAAGAGACAAAATAGATAATCTGGAACTTACATTGAGAGGTGTGGATATTGAAGAAGTTAGTTCTCATACCCATCTGGGTCTTACATTTCAAAACAATATGTCGTAGAATAAGCATGTGTTGGAAATTTATGAAAAAGCCTCTAAACGATGAAATGTGATGAAATCATTCAAATTCCATCTAGGTAGGTCTACTCTTAGATGTTTGTATACAAGTTTTATACGGCCACAAATGGAATTTGCTGATATTGTTGTATATCAGAATAGTGATTTACTCGAAAGCGTTAAATACGATGCTGCTAAAATTATTACAGGTGCAATTTGTGAAACATCCTCAAAATGAATAAATTTCAATTTTAAATGCTTGAGTGACCAGCTTGTTTCAGCTGCCATATTGTTTTTATCCATGTGTGGTAGCTATGTTGCCGCACACAATTTCAAGATGGCATAAACAAAACTTTGATCGATATTATAAAAGTTTAAAGTCTCTTTTCTACATATTGTGCACACTAGTGAATGGGGACTTTGTATTTCCTGAACATGGAGACTAATCTGCATTGTGTTATGGTGGAATTTTTTAGTAGCCTCGTGATATGTGGAGACTTGGTGAGGTGGGACAAGTGACAGCCCAAATCTTGTTTAAGGGCATTGCTTTTGGATCTGGCCTCAAGCTGAAAAACTGAGGCAACTGGGCATTCAATCTGTCTGCAAAAAGGTCTTTGGCACATGGCTTTCAAATCTGCATCAGAGCGTGAAATCTGCTGTTGCATTTAGGCGGCCGGAGAGGTGTTTGACACTCAGAGAAAATTTAGATTCAAAGCCCATTCCCAAAGAGCTAGAGACAGTTGGATAGAACCAGGAGTGAGTCCCCCTAGATGGTTCACATGGGCTACTGCCGAAGTGAAGTGTGAAGTCTCACATGGACACATAATTTACCCTTTGTGAAGCTCTTTGCCGCAAAAGAGCCTGCCAGAAGCTCCAGACAATTTAGAGTTTCTGTTCCATTTGAGACCACAAACCCCTGGTTTGCACCCCCTGGTACGGACCCCAAGCCCTCCCTCGAAGCATCTGTTTCAATTACGAGATTGGGAGAAGGATGTAGAAGCACTTGCCTGTTCCAAGCATTTAAGGTGGGCTAGCCACCAGTATAACTCCTCCCTGGTTTCGATCGACAAGGCTATAGTTTCATGGTGACCCTCGCGTTGAGCGAGGGCTTGGTGTCTCAGATGCTGGAGATGGCAGTAATGCAAAGGCGCAGAGGAAATGGCCTGTATGGAGGCAGTCAACTTCCCAATCTGCTGGGATAGCTCCTGGACTGAAACTTTGTGATGCGCTAGCAAGTGGGTGCAGTGGTCTTTTATTGCTTCCAGTTTGTAATCGGGCAGGAGCAGAGTCATACCCTGAGTATTTACTAGAAACCCTATAAACTCCAATTTATTACAAAGTCTAGATTCTCTAGCAGGTACCACATATCCAGTTCCAGGCCTTCTTTGGACTGATTCATAAACAAAAGATCATCCAGATAAATTCTGGCTTAGTGAAGATGAGCAATGACAGGTTTCATTATCTTTGTGAACAGCCTTGGGACTGTGGCCAAACAAAAGGGAAGGTATGCAAAATCTAGGAGTGTACCCATCCAGGTAAACAGAAGATACTTTCTGTGATGTTTCAACACTGGAATCGCAAAATATGCATCCTTGAGATCGTTTTCCCCAGCCAATCGTGAGGCTGAAGCAAACTGCATTGCAGGTGAATGCCTTCCATTTTGAAATAATCATATTGGATGAATACATTCAAATCATTTAGATTGATGACTGAGTGGGATTTCCCATCCTGTTTTGGTACCAAAAATGAAACTGGCTGGAAATCTTGACCACATTCAATGCTCCTATTTTCCATCCTGTTTCGGTACCAAAAATGAAACTGGCTATAAATCTTGACCATGTTCAATGCTCCTTTTTCCAATAGGGCAGTAATTTCGGTATTGATTTTTTTCTGATTCCAAATGCAAAAACCTAGGGGTCTGATTTGACATTGACTGGGTGGTGAGGTGAACTCAAAAACATGTTCTCTACTGTTTAGGGAGATGTGCAATGGTCCATTGTTGGAATTACGGATGTCACTGGAGGAACATGACCTTTTTATGCCATATCGGTTGATGACTGGATGTACTAGCTTTACTGTGTTGAAGAAGGGACTGGTATACTAATTGCCTGCCATACAACTGAGAAGGCCAATCACCAGGTTGGATGACTAAAAATTTCTTCAGGTATGTTTCTAAACCAGACGATATGGCTATGTTGTGTAAGCTTTGGAAACCCTCCTTTTGACTTCAGGCTACTGACTTCAGGCTACTGGCTTCAGGCTACTGGCTTCAGCAGTAGCACATGGTATAGTTAATGGACAATGCTCATATATACAATTTAAGTTCTGGCATTTGTTGGAATGCCGGTCATCTGTGACTGCTTGGAGGATGCAATTTCAAAATACTTGGTGCACCGGCCTGTCTACACAATTCAATAAATTTGTCGAGCTCATACACAGCTGGTTGATTTCCAATGATACATCATTTATTTAACTTGCTCCAATTCAAATTTGAGGTCACATCCTGTAAAATAGCAATAACCATGTACTTATTGACATTTATTATTTCAAAGGGACTGGTCATTAACTGATGAGAAATATTTGGTGCATAGCCATATATATTTCCTCCACCCCCTCTGGGAGTTACTTATGACCGGTCCCCAAGGCTATTGTGGTAGTATTTTTTAGAGTGGGTAAAATTTGGACTTTTCACCAATTTACCAATACACCCTTTCAATAATTACATCATAAATACTTTTTTGGCCTGTGAGCCTCATTCTTGTTTGTAAAGATGCAAGGTGATTGGCTCACACTTCTTGAGAGTGAGGCTCCCAGGCCAAAAAATATGACTTAATTATTGAAAGGGTGTATAAAGTGTTTGCACATGACTCAGCCACCATGTTGATGTTCCAATTCAAAATAATTTTAATTAGACTGTTTTGTCTGGAATACCAACATGGCCACCATAGCTTTTGAGTTGGTCCCTGGAGAATGAGTGCAAACACTATTGTATTGTTTATTATATATTTTTATTGCATTTGTGTACATACTTTCAGACAAAGCATTAATGTACACTTCCATATCTTCATATATTTCCCCAGGTATTAAAACCCCTCCCTCCTTAACATGCATGTTCTGTTTCCCATTCTGTATCTAGATTTCTTTTTGAGTTTCCAAATTCTTTTCTTTTTGCTGGTCGTCCTGATTTGGCTTCACTGTTAGCTCCCAACTGCCCATTAAAAACAATAAATGTCAACAAATAATGGCACTACATTTTTATAATTCCCAGTTTCTTAATTTCTTCTTTCTTATATATATACTTGCATAAAAGAACGATTTTCCTGTTGCCTTGTACGATTTCAAAGCTCGACAACAGGACGAACATAACACAGCTGTATGTTCAAACAAAATGCCAAAACAAGTTTCGACAAAATTGCCATCAGCCAGACCTCTTCTTGTAAGTTCCTCATTTTTTGGCAACATTTATTGCAGACCCTACAAAAAAATTTTGTTTTATTTCTAAAAGAGAATACAGTCGCTATAAAAAGACAAAGAAGCACAAAACCGGGTTTTAAAGAATTAATTGCCATGTTTGTTTATGTATTTAAAGGTCCCTTCGTATCGAACAATATTCATGAGATACATGCAGGCCAAGCTGGGCACATGCAAAACAAATTTCCCAGCTGTTTCTGCCTTCTAGAGTATTCCGTTTCAAATTGTGTCTGAATATAAAGAGATTGTATCCTATGGGAGTAGTACGGTGGCCCAGACGCGACAGCACAAAAACAGTTTTTGTATTTTTTGATTTTTTGATTTTTGTATTTTTTGATTTTTTGATTTTTGTATTTTTTGATTTTTTGATTTTTAGATTTTTTGATTTTTTGATTTTTAGATTTTTTGATTTTTTGATTTTTGGATTGATTTTTTTTTCAGTATAGATATACATACTGTAGCACTTGAATGAGCGGGCAAGGTTACTGATAATGGGTATATATAACATGATCGAAGCTGTGTAACACAAAATTAAGGTTAAGGGTTAGGTGCCGCGAATTTGGCATTTATCATGTTGATAAATTCGGACGCGTTTAACAATTTACTGGTATAATAAAATTCAAATGTGGAACTCATGCTGTAAATTACACTATACGTATAATCTTGATCAAAAAATTTCCACGACATATGGCGCCGGAAAATTGGCGCCGGAAATTTGGTGCCGGAAAAAATTTGCGGACATAAAATCGTTTATTTTTTGCCGACAATTTTCTTAATTTTTTGAGATTTTTAGATGTATTATTCATCTGGGTACTGGGATTTATATTCTGAGTTCATCAATCTTGCATCAATAAATTTTAAGGGTCCCTTGTTTTGGAGCCCCGCCCGAGATAAAGTTCCACTCTGCCTCTCTCCCGGCGATCCTGCATGCAGTAGATGGAAATTTATAACGAAAGATTCAATATATACAATTTTAGACTTAACTACAGACTTAACTACAGGAGCAGCTGCGAAAATGCTGTCAACTGACAGGAATCGAACCTGTGGCTAAATATAGAGATTTTTGGGAATATGACGCTGTAAATCTCAATTTGCGCTTGGGATTTTTCTTGAAATTTGTGCTTGAAATTTCCATCCTACATAAATCTTTCAATCTGTTCATATTTTATATAATGGCATCACCTGTACTATATACTGTATATAAACAAGAACTTGTGGTTGGAGCTCGACAACTGAACTCTATAACTCAGTTGGTTAGAGCACTGCAACGGAATTGCGGGTCCGTAGGTTCGATTCCTGCTATAGTTCTATTTTCCGCAGCTGGTTATAGGTCTAAATTAAATATATATATGAATCTTCCACTCGAAATGTTCATCTACATAAAGCCTTCAATCTCGGGATCAAGTGGTCTTAGAATCAGGGGCGTAGGAAGAGGGGGGCAGAGGGAGCGCGTGCCCTCCCTCCCAAATTGTTTCAAAGGACGAAAAGTGTCCCTTTTTGTGATGAAAAGTGCCCTTTTTGTACAAGCTAATGTCTCTGTAAATACTAAACTAACATCAAAGGTGCCCTTCTGTTTTTTTAAAAAAATTTGGTCAAAAACGTGCCATTGCGTTATGGTATTACGGGAAAACTTTTCTTAAGCTACTAGTTGTCCAATCGACGTGTGTGGTGCACCGCATTCTGGTTTAGAATACTTTATTGTACATACATCAAGTTTTATACTACAATATATATACATGATCACTGTTTAGGGAAATTACATTTATTATGCCGAGGGGGTGGGGGGGTGGGAGATGGATATGTCTTAACAGGGCCCCTGTTGAGATTATTGGTAAATTTCCGATGCCCCCCTCCAAGTTTCTAAAATTTTCAATGCCCCCCCCCCCCTCCAGAATTCGGAATCGAAGCAATACAATCCGGAATTCTCTCTTATCGTAGACATCATATATACAATTTGCAGCTCCTCAAGATGTCTGATATGCTCAAGCATGTACTTCTCCTCAACTAAAATACCGACCTACTGCTTCTTTCACCTCACTAGCGCCAGATTAAATGGCACCCTTTTTAAAAAAAATAAATTTTAGATTGGTGCCAAAAAAATTTAAGTGAGCTATAGGTGATTTCATGTATCCATTTATAGAAGAGCAGACTAAGGATATCTTGAAACTGAAATCGGTTTCGAATACAACCATCAGGGACCTAGCAAAGCATCTGACGTTTGGGGGGGGGGGGATGTTGGGGGATTATACATGTAATAATAATAATAAAGCTTTTTGTGATTGATTGGCACTCTCATATTAAGTTTCGGGAGAAAAAGGGTGTCTGGGGGTCCTCCCCCAGAAAATGTTTACATTCTACGACTGAATTTCTGGCGTGTTTTAAAGCAAATTCGCAAACAAATTTCATGCAAATTGACTGTATTTTACAAAAATGGTTATCATTTCACAAAAATAATTACTTTATTACGCAAATTTTACCTGAAAATGTCAAAATTTTAACTTGAATTTTACATATTTTTGTCTGAATTTCACAGTAGGGGGAGTTTTCAAACCATCTATTCCATTAACTATGTGGGAGTGAACACTCCAGACCCCTGCTGGACCAAAACTTTGAAAAGTTTAGAGCTCCCCCCCCCCCACCGTCAGTATATCGAGCCCCCCGTTTAATGCCAGATTGCCAGAGAATATTTCGATGACCCCCTTAACATCTTCACCCCCCCCCACCCTTCAGCATAATAAATGTACTCCCTTATTTACGACGGCCCAGACGCGACAGCACAAAAACAGTTTTTGTATTTTTAGATTTTTAGATTTTTAGATTTTTAGATTTTTTGATTTTTTGATTTTTTGATTTTTTGATTTTTTGATTTTTTGATTTTTTGATTTTTAGATTTTTTG